AATAAAAATCGTATGATCGTCTCAATAGATGCAGACGACGCATTTGACAAAATTCAGCATCTTTTCATGATAAACACTCTCAACAAATCGGGTATACAAAGAATGTACCTCATAATAAAAGCTGTATATGACAAGCACACAGCTAACATCATACATAACAGCGTAAGGCTGAAAGCTTTCACTCTAAGATCAGGAGCAAGACAGGAATGCCCACTGTCACCATTTCTTTCACCATGATACTGGAAGTCTTAGCCAGAATAATTAGGTAAGAAAAAAAAAATAGTAAAAGGCAGGGTGCCTGGGTGGCTCAGTCGTTAAATGTCTGCCTTCATCTCAGGTCATGATCCCAGGGTCCTGGGATCGAGCCCCACATCAGGCTCCCTGCTCAGCGGGAAGCCTGCTTCTCCCTCTCCCACTCCCCCTGCTTGTGTTCCCTCTCTCGCCGTCTCTCTCTCTCTGTCAAATAAATAAAAATAAAATCTTTTAAAAAAATAGTAAAAGGCATCCAAATCAGAAAGGAAGAAGTAAAATTGTCTCTGTTTACAGGTGGCATGAACTTACATATAGAAAACCCTAAATATTTCACCAAAAAACTGTTAGAACCAATAAATTTGGTAAAGTTGCAGGATTAAAAATCAACATATAAACATCAGTTCTGTTTCTATGCAGTAACAATATATATCCAAAAACGAAATTAGTAAAACAATCCCACTCACAATAGCATCAGAATGGGTGAAATAGGCAATGGGTATTAAGGAGGGCACTTGTGATGAGCATTGGGTGTTATATGCAAGTGATGAGTCACTAAATTCTACAACTGAAACTAATATTACACTGTATGTTAACTAACTGGAATTTATTTTTTTCAAGATTTTATTTGTTTATTTGAGAGAATGAAAGCATGAATGGGAGGGACAGAGAGAGGAGAGAGAATCTCAAGAGACTCCATGCTGAGCATGGAGACAAACGCGGGGCTCAAGCCCAGGACCATGAGATCGTGACCTGAGCTAAAACCAAGAGTTGGACGCTTAACCAACTGTACCACCCAGGCACCCCACTAACTGGAATTTAAATAAAAACTTGGAAAGGAAAAAAATTTAATAAAATACTTAGAAATAAATTTAAATAAGGAGATGAAAGACTGGAACTAAAACTATAAGACACTGATGAAAGAAATTAAAGAAGACACAAATAAACAAAAAGATATCCTGTGTTCATAGATAGGAAGAATTAATATTGTTAAAATATACATACTACTCAAAGCAATGTACAGATTCAATGCAATCCCTATTAAATTTCCAATGGCATTTTTCACAGATAATAGAAAAAATAATAATCCTAAAATTTGTATGGAACCACAAAAGATTCTGAAGAGCTAAAGCAATCTTGAGCAAGAAGAACAAAGCTAGTAGCATCTAACTTCCTGACTTCAAATTATATTACAAAGCCATAGTAACCAAAACAGTATAGTACTTGCATAAAAACAGACACATAGACCAATGGAAAAGAATATAGGGCTCAGAAATAAACTTATGCATATACAGTCAAATAATTTTCTTTTTTTTTTAAGATTTTATTTATTTGACAGAGAGAGACACAGTGAGAGAGGGAACACAAGCAGGGGGAGTGGGAGAGGGAGAAGCAGGCTCCCCGCGGAGCAGGGAGTCCAATGCGGGGCTCTATCCCAGGACCCTGGGATCATGACCTGAGCCGAAGGCAGATGCTTAACGACTGAGCCACCCAGGCGCCCCTACAGTCAAATAATTTTCAACAAAGGCGCCAAGAATACCCAATGGGGAAAGATAGTCTTTTCAAAAAAATAGTGCTGGGAAAACTGGATATCCACAGACAAAAGAATGAAAAAGGGATTAAAGACTTAACTATAAGACCTGAAACTGTAAAACACCTGGAAGAAAACGTAAGAAAAAAGCTCCCTGACATTGGTCTTGGTGATTTTTTTTGGATTATGACACCAAAAACAAAAATAAACAGGCGGGGTTATGTCAAATTAAAAACCTTCCACACAGTAAAGGAAACATCAACAAAACGAAAAGGCAACTTGCAGAATAGGAAAAAATATTTGTAAACCACATATAGGGGTTTACAAATATCTAATAAGGGGTTAATGTCCAAAATACATAGGAATCCATACAACTCAATAGCCAAAAACAAATAACCCAATTTAAAAAAATGGGCAAAGGACCCGAATAGATATTTTTTCAAAAGGATATACAGATGGTCAATAGGTACATGAAAAAGTGCTCAACATCATTAATTATTAGGGAAATGCAAATCAAAACCACAAAGAGACATCACATCACACCTGTTAGGACGTCTATTATCAAAAAGACAAAAGATGCCAAGCATTAGCAAGGATGGGAAGAAACTGGTCATTGGCATGGAACGTAGCTAGCTTCCTTCAACCACTACGGATTTTTTTTTTTTTTTTGGTTTTGGCTTTGTTTTATGGGGGTTTTTTTGTTTGTTTTTTTAAATTAACATATAATATATTATTTGTTTCAGGGGTACAGGCCTGTGATTCATCAGTCTTGCACAACTCACAGCGCTCACCATAGCACATACCCTCCCCAGTGTCCATCCCCCAGCCACCCCGTCTGTCCAACCCCCCTCCCCTCCAGCAACCCTCAGTTTGTTCCCTGAGATTAAGAGTCTCTTCTGGGTTGTCTCTCTCTCTGGTTTCGTCTTATTTCATTTTTCCCTCCCTTCCCCTATGATCCTCTGTCTTGTTTCTCAAATTCCTCATATCAGTGAGATCATATGATACTTGTCTTTCCATGATTGACTTATTTCGCTTAGCATAACACCCTCTAGTTCCATCCATGTCATTGCAAATGGCAAGATTTCATTTTTTTATGGCTGCATAATATTCCAGTGTGTGTGTGTGTGTGTGTGTGTGTGTGTGTGTGTATGTGTGTATACAACACATCTTCTTTATCCATTCATCTGTTGATGGACATCTAGGCTCTTTCCATAGTTTGGCTATTGTGGACATTGCTGCTATAAACATTGGGGTGCACGTGCCCCTTCGGATCACTACATTTGTATCTTTGGGGTAAACATCCAGTCACTACTACGTTTTTTTGAGCTCGCACTTATGTTTTAAGAGGTGCCAGGGGTACATTTTGCACTGAAATCTAAAGATTTCACTTAAATCTTCACTTAAAAAAACACCTCACAAAAATAGTCTTTGTCACTACATTATTTACTCATGTGTTTGTACATTTCTGTTAATTTATGAGTGATTTTTTTTCAGTAAAAACACACATGTTCAAGAACCACAAAAAAAACCCCCAATGTTCACAGCAACATTATTCATAATAGCCCAAAAGTAGAAACAACCCAAAGGTCCATCAACTAATGAATGGATAAACATCATGTATAATTCTATTTATATGAGATATCGATAATGTGCAAATCCATAGGGACGGAAATTAGATTAGTGGCTCCCAGAGGTGTGGCGGGAGAAGGAAACTCCAATGGGGACAGTTTCTCTTTGTGGTGAGGAGATCTCTGGAAGTAACAGTGACGGTGGTTTGCACAAGGCGTTGAGTATCCTAAAAGCCGCTAAACTGTACACTTTAAAAGGATGAATTTTATGTTATGTGAATTGTATTTCAATTTTTTTTTCTAGTCTGTTGAATGAATCTGGCATGTGGTTGAAAAAGGCTGCGGACCAGAGGGCTGGCGAGTAGAAGTCATGCGCTCCCCCTGTCGTGGCCCTGGCCCCAGTCATCTCTCGGGGGTCCCACTGCAACAGCCTCTTCCTGTCTGTCACCCCCAAACCCACCTTTACAAGTGTCCCACTGCCCACCTGCAAGGAACCATGCCTTTTTATTTTCTCCATGTTTTGACTTCTGGGACCTTGCTGAGCCGAGAGAGACTGGCCCTCCCAGGGATGTCCAATTCCTAAAGATACTAGAGGACTCACCCGCAAGTGTGCCTTTCATTTGCAAACCAGCCAATCCAAAATACTCGGATCACTTCCTCTATCTAGTTCTGACTGTCCACCTGCCCTCCTCACCCCAGGGCCAGGCGTCAGACAACTAGAGAGCCCCTGTGCCCCAGAGCCTGCAGACATGATTCAAACCAGCCGATCCTACACCTGCTTCCCCTGCCTGGCCTTACCTGCGCCCAGCAAACCACAAGGCCAGCGCTGGGCCCTGGCTCCCTCCGCCCCCTGACGGGCCCTGGTGCTTCCCCATGAAGCCCCGCCCGGCGTGTCCCGCTCCCTGTGAGTAAAAACTTCTTGGGGCAACGTCGTCATTTCCACATTATCCATATGATCCAGGTGTTACCGTACCTGATTCAAACGAAGCCCGAGCACATACTGAAACACCACCCTTCAAATCTGCTTCCGCCTCCCTCTCCCCCCTCCCCAACTTTTCTCCCCCCGACACTCGCCAAGCTGTGTAGCCTCTGTAGCCCGCCCCATACATCTCCACCTTCCTGTGCACGTCCCATTCCCATCATCATGCCCTTACGTAGGCTCGGACCTCCGTCTGGGGCACCCTCTCCCTCACCCGCCCTTCGCCTCCGTTGTTCCTGTGCCCGCATCAAGCTTCACTTCGTCATGCTGCCTCCGGAAGCCCACCGGGATAGCCACTCTGTACTCCCAACAGGAGTGGTACTTTCTCCCTCAAAGCCGGGAGCCTGCGTGTCTTGTCTCCCGCCCGGCCCGGGAGTTCCTCCAAGATAAGCACGGTGATCCCTCAATTCTGGGTGCCCAGAGGTTAGCACAGAGCCAGTAGAGTACTGGTAACGCAATCAATATTTTTTAGTGTAAGAAATCTCCTCCATAGACATATAAATAAGCTCTCGGCGGTCGGAGCCCTCACCCTCTGGGTCCTTAGCAGGGCCCCGCGCAGAGTGTGTCCTGCGTAAAGGCCTGGGGCGGAAGGCGTGAACCGGTAGGTGGAAGGATGACGGAGCAGATAAGCAGCGGGAGGAGAGCGGGTGGGGCCACAGGCCGGTCTACTCACGCTGTTCCTCCCACTCACGCTCCTCGCTCTCGCTGGCGTGGCTCTGCAGCTGGGCCTGCTTCAGGGTCCAGTAGAGTTCCTTGGCCCTCTGCTCTTCCCGGAGGCGAATCTGCTCCTCTCCTCGCTTCCTCTCCTCTTCCTCTTTCCTCTAAAATATCATGGGGACAGAAAGACGTTAGGTTACGAGAGAGAAGTGCCCCTGTGACTCTGGGGCAGGGCTGTGCTGTGGCGGCGTGGGGTGGGCCAGGGCTGGCGGCTCAGGTGTATTCTCTGACACAGGAAATGGCCATAGTCAGGGAAGGATCCAACGGGTTAAAATCCGGGGAACAGGGGCACCTACGTGGCTCAGTCGGTTAAGCTACCAGCTCTTGGTTTCAGCTCCGGTGGTGATCTCAAGGTCGTGAGATCGAGCCCTGTGTTGGGCTCCCCACTGAGCGTGGAGTCTGTTTGAGCTTCTCTCCCTCACCGTCTCCCTCTGCCCCTCCCTCCCTAAAATAAATAAATAAATCTTAAAAAAAAAATGTGTGTGGAATAATTTGTAGACCCCAAAGCTTTCTGCAAAGATAAGAGGAGGCTGGGCCATCCTTGGCCACACTTGCATTCTGGGGAAGACGGAGGGTAGGTACCACTCCTTCTGGAGGCCAATTAAGCAGGATATGATCATGTCTTAACCTTCTGTCTGGATAAGATATTTCCAAGACAAGCAGATTTCGGGGGACCCACATCTCCAATTGTCACACTTTGAAACTCCAAAAAGCTGTGTGTGTGTGTGTGTGTGTGTATTTCCCTCTACCTTTGTTCACATCAAAGTAACCGGCAGGTGTCGAACATGCATTATATGCTATAGGCTCATTTTCAGAACCAGCAATTCTCCAGACCACGTCACCCCAAACTACCCACCCTCACCCAGTGCCCAGAGGCCACCATTCTCAGTTATTTTAGCTGTTCCTTCATGTGGTGACATCTCTGTCTGAATCACGCAGCTAATTTTTTTATTTATCAATTCTAGACATTAAACTACTGCCTTTCCTTTTTGGTACATGAGTATTTGACACTTATGTTTGCCACACAGGTACACGCCCAGACTTTTCCTCTCCTCCTCCTTAGCATGTCAACATCAAAATTTGTGGTGAAATCAATAATCGGTGTAAATACGGTTCACTGCAAAGCCAAAGTAGGGCGCTGTTTTCACCAATGATAAGAAGTACGTTTTGTAACTTTCTAACATAATGTGGGTGTGTCTCAAGACTTGCAAGTTGCCTTTTTAATAGGCAACAGTTTTTTCTTTCTTCTTAAAATGATGATTAATAAATCAATACTTAACTAATATGGCATCTTATATTCAGTAAAATATGGTAGTACGATGGCTTTTTCTTTCCTGAGTTCGTAATCGTTTTATCCTGAAGTTGCATATTGAATTTTCCCAACTTCTCTAAGATCTGTCGTAAATCTTTCTCTGTGTTTATTATTTTAACAGATAAACAGCAGTTATCTTTTTTCAGGGGTCGCCACTACCCCAGATGCCAGCCTTCCTTCTTCTCCCATCTCGGTTGGTTGTTACCTGGCTCTCCGGGTAACCACCCGGGGACCACCCACTCCGTCCATCCACCTGGGGACTCGTTTCTCAGCCCTCCTCCAGTTGAAGCTCTTGTTTCTTTGTTCCACGTTCTTTTCTGGCCACTTCGTCATTTTGCAACAACATAGCTAGCAGGACTTCTCAAGTATGGACGCACAGGGAGACACCCTGAGTCTTGTCTGAAGACATCTATATGCTGCCTTCAGATATAACTGCTAATTTGGCTGAGCATAGAATTCAATTAAAAACCACTTTCCTAAAGCAGAATTTGGAAGACTCTACCTCCCAGCATCCAATACTGCCACGTGGATTCTCAGTCTTCTGCATGAGACATTAATTTTTCTCTCTATCGCTGATGTTCTGAACATGGTTAAATGATGTGCCTTGGTGGGGATTTTCTTTCATTGATTGTGCTAGGCATGCAAGGAGCTTTCTGCCTGAAGTCTCAGATCTTTCCAGGCTGATACACCTTGGCTTAGAATTTCTTGGGTAATTTCTTCTCCTCTCATTGTTTTTCTTTCTAGAACTCCTGCTTGTCAAATTCTGGACTCCTTGACTTGATCCTCTAGGCGGCTTAGCATTTCTCTCTTATTTTCTCTTCCCTGCCTTTGCTGTTCTACTTCCTGGTTGATTCACTGACTTTATTGTCTAAACCGACTACTACATTTTTTATTACAGATTGCATTTGTAATTCCTAAAGCCCTCCTTCTTATTCTTCGGTTGTTCCTTTTTGCTTCATTGCACCCTGTCCTGGTTTCAAGAGTGTAATGTTTCATCTCTGAGGACTTTAGAGCTTTCTCCCCCACTCCCCCCCATATTCTGATTTAGGTCTATTTCCTCTGTTTTTTGCTTTTTTTTCCCCTTTAAAGTATGTTTTATGTGTTGCCTGTCATTGGTGTTGGAGGCTTTTCTCAGATGTCTCATGTTTCCTGGCTGTCCATATTCAAGACAGGAAATAACGGTCCGAACGGGAGACTCAGAGGGTGTAGACAGGACTTCCCCGGGAAGTGGGCTTCACGCTAGGATGACTGGATGAGGAATCAGCCATTTCGCTGAGGAAAATACTCAATACTCCAGTGTAAGTGTAAGTATCTAGAGGTCCTTTGTCTGAGATTATTCCGTGTCTTCTCCTCTATCCTACTAGGTGGAGTCCGAGCACCAGCACACCGAAATCTGTGGGGGAGGCAGGCTGCAGGCAAGACAGCCCTGAGACCTTAGCTAACAGAACCCCTAGCTTGCGTCCCACATTTCATAGGAACACCATGCCTTGAAATGCCTTCTTTGCAAATATCCCCCTCAGGTGTCCGCCAGGAAAGGCCAGAAAGAGTCCTCCCAGGATTGGCAGGGGCAGCAGTGGTATCCAGGTAAGGTACCCTAAGTCCAGACCAGGTCCTGCATGAGCCCCAGTCCCTTGTTTCTCCCCCTCAGGGTGTTCTCTGACCCTCTCCTTCATGAAAGGGGTTAACCATATGGCCCCAGGAGCTCCAAGACACATATTTATGGAATCATCCTGAAGTCTAGTGGCCAGGCCACGTTTCCAGGGGGGTGGCCTAGCAAGCCTACAAACCCTGCCAGTAGGCACCGTATTTTTATCGCAGCATTGCATGAGATTGGGTCACCAGAAAAGACCTAACAGGCTGATTTCATGTGGCTCAAATTGATAATTTATGATAAGAAAAGACACCATGCAAAAATACTTGCCCGCCCTGTCATCCCAGAGGCAGCCCAGGCTGCAGGTTCTATGGCTCAGGTTACTCACTGCTTAAAGTAAGACCTTTCCTTAATCCTCCTGTTTCCCATGTGTCCCTTGCCTGCTCTCGCCATTCAGCCTGACACACTGAGCTCTGAGCCTCTGCCCACTCCCCATCTCCTTCAGCGCGGAGGGAGGGATGTAGTAGCCTGGATGAAAATGGGGACGTGAGGGTCCAGCCATTCCACAGAGAAACTGGTCGCCAACCTGAGCTCCCTGCTTCACAGTCCCTGGTGCCTCTAGGTCCCGAGCCCATGGGGACCCAGACTGAGCCAGCTCACCCACCCACCCCCTTCCTGCAGGAGCCCCACTGAACCTCACCACTCTGTCTTCCAGCCTTCAAACCTCAGCGAACATTTTCTTATCTGTTCCCTCTTCTCATTTTCTCTCTCCTGGTGCTTTGGAAATTTTTCAGTCCTTTCCTACTATTTAAATGGACCAACAAGAGTCGGGGTGGAGAGGAGGTAACTGAGTTTTTAATCCCTCATTTAATAAAAAAAAGACAAAGTTTTTTCTTTCTTCTGAAACAGTATAGATTAAGGATTTTTTACTAATTCAAAAATCAAAGTTTTAGTCTGAAAAAATAGGCAGAATTCCCACTTCCTAATGAGTCACTCTCAAGAGTTGGGCATGAGGACAAAAGAAGCTGAGTGGCTTCACGCGTCACTCACCAAATACTTACAGAGCACACAGAGGCTCAGGCCTGCATCGGGCTCTGGGGACACAGCAGTGGCCAGGACACATGCAGGCCCCACCTCCGCGCTTACCTTTCCAGGGGGCGAAACACACCAGACAAATAAAAATCAGGAAATATCAGAAGATAATAACCAGTGTGCAGAGAATTAAAACAGGAAAAAGAACAGAGAGAATTTAGGATGCTACTTTAGGCTGGGTGACCAGAAGTCCTCTCAGAAGGGCCGATGTGATCTGACAACTGAATAGTAAGGAAGAACGCCGATAAGTAAGTTTGGGGGAGAAGAAATTTCCAGGCAGAGAAAAGCACAAGCACAATGGACCCAGCATTGCAAATGAGCTTGGCATGTTTGAGTATAGAATCATCTACTGTGGTTGGAAGAAGAAAAGTCAAAATTCTATATTTGATGAGTTCGAGATGCCATCTGACATCCCAGAGGCCTGCCATCAGTAGCAGGATGCGGGAGCCTGGGGCTGAAGGGCAAGTTCAGCTGAAGATACTGGTTCAGAAGTCATCTGCGTAGGGATGAAGTTTCTCAGCCACAGGACCTAATGCTATCACTGAGAGAAAGAATGCAGATCCAGAGGAAACAACCAGAAATAAGGTACGGAGATGAAAGTACAGCATAGGGAATATAGTCAATAAAACCATAATAACGTTGTAGGGTGACAGATGGCGGGTGACTCCACTTACCGTGGTGAGTACTGCGTAATGCAGAGAATTGTTGAATCACTATGTTGCACACTTGAAACTCATATAACGCCGTATGTCAATTATGCTTCAACAATAACAATAAAAGAGAGAGAGAGAGAGAGAGAACAACCAGAGTGTCTTGGGCCACTCCACCATTTAAAAGTTGAGAGAAAGAGCAGGAACCAGGAAAGGAGGCTGAGAAGGAAAGCCAACAGATAAGCTAAAAACCCAGAAGGGGTGATGTCTGTTGGGGAAACCAAGAAAGAACATTTCAAGTAAAAGGGAGTGGTAAACTGAGCTGCAGGCCCTGAAACATCACAGAAGATAAGGACAGAGAAGTGACAGGACGGCAGGCAGGTCGTGGCCTCAGGACATGATGGGAGAGCTGCCCGGTGGGGTGGAGGGGCAGCCATCCAGGCGGCATGGGGGAGGGAG